CCACAACCACAACCACAACCACAACCACAACCACAACCATACCACGACGACGACGACGACGACGCCGACGCCGACGCCGACGCCGACGCCGACGCCGACGCCGACGACGACGACGAGAACAATAACATGAACAAGAAGAACAATAAGCACAACGCCAAACAACATACAACAAACAACAAACACAACCAATGGAAGAACAACCAACAAAACACACAATAGACAACAAACAACAACAACAAACAACAAACAACAAACATCAAACAACAAGCAACTGACAACAAACAAACAACCAACAGCCAACAACCACATCAACCGCAACGGCAACAAACCGAACAAAAACAAGAGCAATAACACGGCCAACGACGAGCACGACGACGACGACGTGAAAACGTGACGACCCCGACAACACGGACAACCATGACAACCACGACAACCACGAAAACGACGGCAACCACGTTAACCCCGACACGACAACCACAACAACGACGACGACGTCGACAACGACCTCAACAACGACAACGACCACAACGAAAAACAATGACAACAACGCCAACAATGACAACAACGACAACGACGACAACAACGACAACATCAACGGCGACGACGACGACAACAACAACCACAACAACAACACGATTCCCTGCTTGCAGAACAATGAAGTGATGAAGACTTCGGAAGCTGCTGCAACTCGGCTTGTTACACAGGATGTGTAAACATCAGCCCAACTGAGTTAGGATACGTCAAAGCAAAACACGATGGAAGGTCGGGAGTGCCGCACAAGGGCGACCTATGGTGACCTGGTAGTGCAAAAGCAAGCGTGCTCTCATGCTGCAGGTTATGTTCACTGTTCACCCCTCTCTGCACTTCAGTTGCCCCTTGTTGGCAATAGGCCCTCTGGCCTGGAGGGCTCGCTCCCAATCGCCGAGTAGTGGCAAGGTGATTTTGAGGAGAAAGGTACTCACGTTTCGGTCTCAGAAACAGACATGTTTATCTAGACATCTTGGCTAGGCCGACTACCACGTTGAGACCTCATCTGCAAAACGCGTCTAGCAATGCAATTAAAGTCATGGTGGGCGCCGCCGGAACGAGAATGATGTTTCTGTCTGAGAAAGGCAGCGCCGTTTTCTGCCAGAGTCGACAGCGGCTCAAACGCCTTTGTAGGACAAAAGCGTGTTGCTATACCTGCAGCACTTCTTCGCGCCAAGCCAGCTACGGCGTTAGTTCTCTCGCATCGTTCTTGCAATCATCTGAAGCGGAGGAAGGCGAAGAGCTGCGCCGTTCAAATGGGCCATGGTTCAATTCTATGAAGGCATACGCCTCGCTACGGGCTCGTTTTGCTACGGGCTCGTTTTGGACTCATTTCCGACTCGCTTTGGGCCCCGAGAATGCCTCGAGACCTAGGGTAAGACATGCCAAAGCACTTCGGTTGCTGCGTTCTTGGCATGCTCATCGTGCAGTCCACTCTCTCGGAGCTATCTGGGTCACTGCTGTCTGGTCGGGCCGATGGCGTAGGTTTGCACGAAAAGCTTAGTCTGCGCCACAGCCAGTCGGGCTGGCAGGAAATTCAATTTTCTGGACTGTCATAGCCATCACTCTCACAAGCAGGATTAATATCGTTGCATCTTGTGTTGCGTGGTGTTGATTTCGTTACCATCTGGTTTGACAGCAAACTCTACTGTTTGTGGGATTCCGACTATATCGATACAAAAAGCAATTGGTGGTTAATTTGGGGGGGCGCTCATATGGCTGAACGTGGTCGCATGTGCTTGTATGTGGTTGCATACAACTGAATCCGAATTCATCGGACGACCCATGCCAGCAAGACGTTCGGGCCAAACGTCACCTTGGTCGCAGTGCTGAATGGAGCACGCGCGAAACCCCAAAAGGGAAGCGCAACGCAATGCATTGTGATTGCTTGAGCTTTGACAGTTGTGCACCTCTGGTTTGTGTATCCCCTCAGGCTTGGGTTCATAGTGGACCTGATTTAGACTAGGTTACTGGGTATGATTCAACAGATGCGGAGTGATTCGTTGATGAAAGCAGCTGTGCTGAGGCTCCTTGGAGAAAGAAGAACACAAATCCACACACATCTTCCAACAGTGGATTGCTGCCGTTGACCGATGATCACTCCAACTGCAGAAGACAAGCACTTGCCTATCTGCACTTCCCGACAAACTCATCTGCTTAAGACGGCCAAATACTGCAGTGATGTCCCACAATGACACTTCACACTTCCATAGCAACCACGTTTGGCATTTGTACACATTAGTGATCACGGACCATGCAAACCTGCCGGCTGAAACAGTGCATCAGCAATCAAGAAGGCCTCACCAATCACTGATCTCCTTTGCGACAGATCTCTCTCTCTCTCTCTCTATCTCTTTTGATTGATGAGCGATGCAACATGATAAACTGACCTATATATAACTTTTCTTCCCTCCCTCTTCCTGGCAAGTGGGTGTTCCTTTTTTTCGGGACACCCCCCCGGAAAAATATATATATATATATGAATACTGGTTTTGCTGTTGGGTTCCCCTACGAAACCTCACAAAGGGTACCCTCGAAAAACGACGACACACCCAAGTACGCCATTGAAGACACAGCCAAAACTCAAAGGATGCTGCTCGGACTTCCTCGAATGTGCCATGGCCTGCCTTCCAGAGCTGTCATGGCCTTCCTTTTGGGAGGTGTCGTTGTACTGTAAGGCCCATGTGGGTCCTTTCGCTTTTCGGGGACCCCCCAAAATTGGTTGGGCGTTCCTGTTGGTTTCCCTTTGAAACCTACCCAACAAAGGATACCCCAAAAAAGGACGGAGCCATTTTCGCCCAAGAAGGCTGTGGCCTATCTGCTGGATCCGACTTTGGGGCGTTGAGGGGATCCTTCGTCTTTGGTTCTCAGGGAACGAGCCGGAATGCCCCCCAAAAAAACCATCTCCTATACATTCCTTCAAGGGAATCCCCGTCCGGTTCATTCCCAGCCTGGGTCACCTATCGCACCAATGTAACAAGTCATTCACGGGGAGAAAAAAAAAGCCGACGATGAACTCCCCCGGCTTCCGAGTCAACTGGACCGGCGCCTGGTCGCTCTCCGGGGGCAAGTCCCTAAGCCTCGATGCCACCTGTCGCGCTTCCGCGCGTCGCTTCCCATTTCGAAACTTCGCCGCCCGAAGCGCTGAAAAATCCATCCCAGGCATGAAGACTCAAAATGGGCCAGGATGTGAGTGGGATGTTTCGGATGTAGGAATGTGAGCCGCAAAGATCAGCAGGCCCAAAATCAATTCAGTGCAAATGCGGGGGCCTCACTGGCGCCCTGGAAAAAAAAAGGCACGGTGTGTCTCTTGGACTGAGATGTGTACCATTGCACAAATTTAAACACTGCAGGTTGAACCACCAATCGCTTCCTCATGAAAGCACATGTCTTCCTGGCCCTCCAGGGGATTTTGGAAGCGACCGGCGAAACAACCTGCATCCCAAGTTGAAGCGCTCACCTTTTCAACCAAAACTGAACCCATGCCACGTGGCTATGCCAAAAAAATCGGCACCCCAAAAGTGGTTTCTGGTTGGTGTCCATTCAAACCAACGTCAACATGGGTACCTCTCAGCAAATCAGATACTCGTTGATCTGGACTGGGCGCCGCGCTGCGATGTACTGGCACAGGCCACCAGTGTAGATGGCAAACGTCAGAAAGTAAATGATCCTGCCATGACCAACACCAGGCAAGAGCTCATCCGTGCGCTTCCTTTACAGGCTGGAAGGTACCCAAAATCAACATAAGCGGGCTGCCTGTACAACATGGCTTGTGTTTATCACACATGTTTCAACTCCCGCCAGCCCACCAGCCAACTAACCAACCAAGCAACCAAACTACCAAAAAAACAAGCAACCAACCAACCAACCAACCAACCAACCAACCAACCCACCCACCCACCGACCACCCACCAACCACCCACCACCCACCCACCACTCACCAACCACCCACCACTCACACACCCTCATTTCTATATCGGCATCTGCCCCATTTCCATTTCGCGCCTCGCCCACAGCCTCACCGACTCCCTGGGCTTCATGAAGGCCCACCTCATCGTTGGGCGCTCGGGCGGCTCGGGCGGCTCGGGCGAGCCGCATCCCACCACCCATTGTTTGAACCGATTATAGTCTTACCCCTTAAAACTCCAAGCCCTGGGGAAGTTAATCTTTTACAGACATATAGCCCATGTTACCCAAGAAGTTTAAAAGTTGTGTTTTTAAGAGGTAAGTATTTTAGTGATTGGGATGAGAAAACTGGGATGGGGCTTTGAATCATTGGCCATTTACATGCGCCTTTCTGTTGAGATACCCTCCCACTGACATGGCCGGGTTTCCAGCGGGTCCCAAGAGGAAACTGATCTTCCAGGTATTTTCTCTCAGGTGCCATGTGGGAGGAAGGGTATCAATATGAATCTTACATACACAACATCTTATCCATGTGGGTCTGTCGCAAAATACGGCTACCCCAACAATGTGTTGTCTCCTTTGCCCCCTTATCCCAACAAAAATGCCACAGGCAAAAACAAAAACGTACATTTTCTGAGATCCCAGGGTTCCTTGTCGGAATTCCAACATCTGGGCCAAACGAACCCGACTTGCCAATGGTGATCGGGAAATGACAGGGGTCCACTGGATGTTTGTCCCAAATCAACAGTTGATCAACACTGGTGGTGTCCATTGAAACTGCCACTTTGGGTGGTTCCAAAAAAGACATAAAGCCTGAATGAAGGAGCAGCCTGCCAGCGTGACGCAACTAATTACTCTGCGGATTCATGTGAACTAGTTTGTTAGAACCCGATGAACGGGCCCCGCTCCTTGGGTGACCTTTGTGCAGCAGCGCAACCCATCATTTGAACCTGCAGGCCCCTTGAACTCCGACATCAGGAGGAACAACACCATTCCAAAGAAACACATCATGCACATGAAGCTGTGATTCTGAAGCCAACTACCCTGGAAAAACATATCGGATGGCCCTGGTTTTCTGAGGCGGCAGCATTGCCAGCATCGCAGCGCCACACCAGTTCATGAAAGTACCTGCCAAATCTGGACCCAACCGATTCGGACTTGTGTTTCCAACCCTAAACCAATCGCTATTGGAGAACTTCACCCACAACCAACCCCTGCGTCCAGAAGGCAAGTTGGGGGTCGAAACACGTCTCCCAATGCGATGTGGCATGCAATGACTGAGAAATGCCCTCAGGGACCCACCAACGCCACATGCCCTGGTCGCAACATCTGGACCAAGGGCCTGTAACACTTGATGCCAAACGCGCAAGCCACCAAATCAGAAAGAAAAGGGTTCAATATGGTGCAAAGAGCCATCCCAAAGGCCTTACTTCTTGCCTTGCAAGAGAAAGCCACAAGCAGGTTTCCCAGGCAGTGCACACCTTTTGAACGAAAGCGCCACATTCAGCGAGAAACTGGCTGCAATTAGCAGCAGTCATCTGGCAGCAAGCGAATTGCGAAGCTCTGGCTTTGTTTGCCACATAGACTTTCATGCAATGCCGGCCAAGCTCTGAGACGCGTCCAAGGAGCACTCATGCGCTGTACCACTACACCTTCTCTCGTATGTCCAGATGCAAAAGCTGATTGAGCAACCGAACCACTTGGACGTCATGTTCATAACTTGATGTTCAGGCAAGACACACACTTGCAGAACCAAGAACAAGGCGCCAACCAATCTGGCCTTCTCCTGGGTTGCAGCCCTCAGTTTTTGATAAAAGAGATTCCAAGTTCTGTTGGGTAATCTTGCCCTCCCCAACGGTTCCAGAGCGAGAAGTCCACGGTGGCCCTTCAAGGCTGTGTCGGGAGATCGGCTCAGTTCGGAACTTGCTGCTTCTCAGGGAACTTTCGGGCGTCAACCATCCCTGACGGTTTCAGGCATCTTCCGGTTTACAACAAAAAATGTGGCAACTTCCGGGAGCTGTCCCCATCTTGCAAAAACACATCTTAGGGCGGGTCCCGCGTCTGACCCACGGCTCCCACGAATCCCCTGACGATTCGATTCCCGAAGCGGTTCACCAAAGAAGACGCAGGCGATGAGGCCCATGGAGGCGAAGTGCCTCAGAACTCAAACCGTGGGAAGACTTCGTAGGTTTCCACTGAGACTCAGACGAGAACATGTGCCATTCGTGGGCTAGGTTCAACTCCAAGGAAACTTTCTTTGATTTGGCCCAGGTATTCAAAAGCAGCAGAAGGGGAATAGGGGACCTGGACGAATGTGAAGATGACATGAGGAGAAACGAGATGAACTGGTGCTTGACACATTTCTAACCAAAAAGAGCAAGAACAAATCTGAGGTGAAATGAATTGAAATTAAACGAAATGAATGAAATGAAATGTTGACAGAAAAGAAATGTTGACAGCATTGTGCCGGTCGGCCCAATGACCCACTGGTGGCCAACCCTACTGGCCCTGTCTTCAAGTCAAAAACAAACAGTTAAACCGTCCCTGCATGACCTTGGCCAAGAAAGAGTTCATGGCTGGGTTGCGACTTGCCGCGATGCGCGGTGTACCAGGCAACCATAATGCGGATTTCTATGTGCATCTTGCCGATCAACCCAACTCGAGCGGTTCAGCATGGGTCTGTGTTGCAGCATGACAATCGAGAGACATCGCCTTCGCGGCAAAGCAGCACATGGTCAAGCAAATCCTGTCAAATAACTACGCCCGGAAACTCATACAGCTCTAGCATTGTAAGCGGGGCTCACCTGAGGGCAAGGAACGGAAACAGATGGAATTCGACGACAACTTTGCGTCTAGAACAACTGAGGCTACTTGCAAAGATGCAACAATTGCAATGGCAAGCTGAACACAATTGAACGGATTCAAGTTGACATCCTGAAAGAATCACAACATTCACAGCTTTTGGCCTCTAGTCCCGTCCATTTGGTGCAAGGTTTTGCAAGGTGGCCAGGCGCTCAAATGCCCGGCAAGTGAAGCTCTGCTGCCACGGCACAAGTCCTTGCCAACCCAGCAAATGTCACCTGGCAATCATCGAAGCTCCGGCTCCCGGAAGAAGAAAAAAAATAGGGCACCTGGAGGTCATGGGGGGTTTGAATGATCCAAAAACCCTCGGGCGGAATTTCCCCACTCGAGGCCAAGGCTCTCGCTGCCACAGTCTGCCTTCCGCTTCCTGATTCATTTACAGACATCAAACGCCGCATCGAACACCTCGCTATCAATACAATATACCGTACCGCTCCGGTGACAAAAATGCTTTCCGTTCAACTAATCTGTAATCTGAGTCAGAAGAACGTGAAAACGGGGGGAAGCAACATGCAAGGCAATTGGCAACAGCTTACAACTCTTCCTCTGACTAACTTGAGCATTGTGCAAAAAAATGAGTCTGCCAGTTCTCTGGCACTTTAAATGGGCTTCACGTTCAAACTTTGCACATAGGAAATAACATCGGTGACTTCGAAGGGATTGGAGAAGGAACTCCAGACCCCTAAAATGCTGAGCTTCCAGTTTGTTTTCTTTAACAACTCACCAAAAGGGGGGTCCCCCCTCCCCCAAAAAAGGGAAAATAGAAAACACCCGACATGCATCTGTGAGATTTCTTGGGGCACCCAGCTTACAAGGACCATGTAGTGGGCGATGCCGCAAAGCCACTCCGCAAAGTCTTCGGTGTTGCGCCTCATTTGGCTGTGGCGCCAAAAGCGTACCCCAAATGCCACCTTGGTGTATGGAAACAAGAACTAATGCCTGCGTTTATCTGGCTCTCTAATTTTGACCCACACCATTTGCTAGGGGTCTCTCAGCTAAGCTATGGGGCCGTAATGACTTTGGGAGATCGCCCAAGGCACGAGAATGATGCCGAGAATCGCTCCCGAGCCCATCCCAGATCTGAGACCCCAGCACTGCTGGCTTCATGAAGGAGAGAAACTGTGTCAACTGGGCCGCACTGAAGGGATGATCAGACCCCCCAAAATGGCGGCTTTCCTTTAAATCCCCCAAACAGGGGGACCCTCAAAAAAAGAAACGCAACAGTGTCCCTTAGCATGTTTGCTATCGCGCGGCAAACCGGAGAACCCCCTAATTATGCATCAGGCCAACCAAGTAACACTCAGCCTTCGATCCAAGCACTCATAATAACATCTGTTAAGTACCCTGAAGGCCGCCTGATTTGTTCAACACATCTTTGCGTGCCGACAGGCTCAAACTACAGGCAACTCCTGTTCTGTTGCTGGGCGTCTCGCACATATCCTCGCAGAACATTTGACACTCACCGCCCAGTCCACCCTCCCAACAGGCGCGCCTTGGCAGGGAGAATCATCTTTGCCACCACACCCTGGGCTGTTGGCCGATGAATGCCACGCCAATCGACGGCATGTCAGTTGCGACGCGGCTACGCCAGCCTATGTCTCAGAATAGCTTACCTTTGGGCAATCCAAACAAAGGTGTCCTCAAAGAAAGACACCCCCCTAGATATCCCCATAGATATGAGGTGAAGGCAAAGCCTAGAGCTACCTCACAAAGCCCGGAGCAAGGTCAAGCCATCGATTGCAGGCCTGCGAAACGCTCACCTGCCAGGCGCCGGTCTCCACCTAAGAATGATGCTGGTCGGAATCAAAGCATTCAATGTTCCAACCACATGTCCTACCTGGCTGTATTTGTTTTCGCAATTGTGGCTTTACGGACCCATCCAAAGGCTCCTCCCCATTTCTTGGGCCCCGAATCTCATTGAAGTGTGCTTGAATAGTGAAATGGTTCGCCTCAAAACAGAAAAGACAGTGAAGACTGGGGGAACATGCGGAACATGCGACGTAGAAGAGCTGATCTGGCCCCTTACGTGCTGCAAGCTTCTCCTGACTGGTGCGTAAATAGACGGGGGGAAGATGCTGGCCACGTGGCTGTGTAGTAGGCAGTGACCTTGGCAGCCCATCCTGGCAATGTGCGGCGAGGAAAGGGACTGTGGTGTGATATTCACTTGAGTAACCTTTACGTTGGTGTCTCATGGTATGCTTGTTTCGGTGGTGGCAAGTGAGTGGTAAAGCAGGTTTAGAGCCAATGCCTTCCTCCATGCCGTGAGACCTATCTGTGCAACTCACATTAATATGAGGCGGATACCTTCAAGTGCTATCCTTACAAGCTATCCTGATTCAAAGGCTTGTTCTTGAAAACCAAGTGTTCATGACTGCGCTGCATGGCCACTTTTCCCTGCCATTGCTCCCAAGACAGGCTAAACAGTTGGTCAGACAGGCTAAAAAGTTGGTCAGACAGGCTAAAAAGTTGGCCAGAAACCAATGCCCTTTTGCCGACCTTGTTTCGTCATTGGCTTCGGAGCGACAGCTGAAGCCCAGCCTTTCTCTTGCATGATCAGCGAGATCCACAGCACGCTGGTGAGGGCTGGCGTGCCATAGCGAGGCTTTGGTGTCATTCAATCAAACTGGGGATGGGGTTGTACATTTCTTGAAGTACCCCTTCTTGGGGTTGTTAAAGGGAAACCAAAGGAACACCCTCAATTTGGGTGGGTCCCCAACTTAAAGACACCGCTAGATCCTTCCTCCGTGCTGGATTATATTTGACATTTGATATTCAAGACTTGGTGATATCGCTCTGTGCTCTGTATGCAGACATGCAACGCAAATCGACCAAATCACAAGATTAGAGCCCCGAGGCTATCCTCGATGAGAACAACTTCCTGGAACTGCGAACTGCTCAACTGTAGAACTCATATTGGCATGGACCAAACCTTCAAAGTATTTGGCTGCAGCGATGGCATTTTCTGAATCAGATCAGGCCACACTGCTACATGAGCCCTCCTCAATAGGTCTTGTGCAAATGACATGAGAATTTGGTGACAAACCCCAATTCCCAGAAGTTTGGCCCTTTTTGTCAGGTCTCCATTGCCTTCAAAGGTAAATACTGGCTCGCATGGGGTTCCCCAAGTCTCTTTCCTCAAGGGCAGTTGGTTGGCCAAGAGCTGAAACCAACCAAGAGGGGACAGAAGTGTGTGTCTTAAAATAGACCCGCAAAATGGATGTCGGTTTCTCTTACAAGTAACCCAAAATGGGCACATTCAAAGTAAAGGCACGATCTTAGGGAAAGCCTGCGTGCTGGTTTAAGCATCGCGCCTGTGATGAAGATCGCCAGGTAGGTGCTGGTCTTGGCAAGACCAGTAGCCATTGATGAAAGGCCTGCGCCGAGTCTTAATTCTGAAAACTCCGAATCCGTGTGCCATGGAGTCGATTCCTTGAATTTTGAAAATGGTTGTCTGACTTCCTCACGGGATCTATAACCATCTCTACTAGCCCAAAGAGGTCTTTTGACCGTGGCACATACGATTGCTAAGGCTGGCCGTAGCCGCCAATCAACATGATTCAATGTAGGCGCGCATATCGGGACATGCGGAACGTGTTTCAGCATGCCGTTCCGTCCTGATGTACCGATGCGGAAGCAAACAGTAGAACGTTGGATATAGGCTTGAGCCAAAATGATCCACCAAGAAATCCGGTGCAACTTCCTGTCATTCGCAGGAGATCGCAGATCTAGGGCGGTGCAACTACGCAAATCAAAACAATTAAAGCAAATAAAATCGAGAGTACTTGTGGCCCAGTTAGGCTTTTCACCAGAGACGGGCAGGGAAACGCGTCTTTTTGTCAACTGCAAGGCGCTGCCTTCATCCCAGCAACGCTGTGCTTGCAGATCACTGCGACCTTTCCTGAAGTGCGCCCACAAACAATGAAAGACACAATTTGTCAGCAGTTTCAGCCACATCTCTGAGCTCAAGCAGTTAGGAAACACCCTCCAGAGAGAAAAGCTTGCTCACTGCCTAAAGACAAGTGAATTCTGCCCGGTTGCAGCCTTGGCAAGTCCGTGTCACATGATCTCTCTAGGCACACACGTGAAAGCCATACACGCACGCACGCACGCATGCACGCACACAGGCACGCAAGCACGCGAACACACACGCACACCAAAACATAAAAGCAAACACAAACACAAAGACACGCACAAACACAAGTACAAATAAGAAACAAAACAAAACATGAACTCATACTCGAACAGAAACACACACACACAAAAAAAATAACAAGGAGGAAAAACCAAGGGAACAAAAAACGGACAACCCACACACACACAGGAACAAATCAATCAAACAAACAAACAAATCAAGCAAGCAAGCAAGCAACCAAGCAGACAAACACAAACGCGAAAGCAACCACACGGACAGACACACACTCACACACACTCAAACACACAAACACACAGACACACAATAACACACACACACATAATAACACACACACACACACACACACAATAACACACACAAACACCCCCACCCCCACCCCCACCCACCCACCCACCCACCCACCCACCCACCCACCCACCCACCCACGCACGCACGCACGCACGCACGCACGCACACACGCACGCACGCACCCACACACGCACACACACTCACACACATACACACACACACACACATCTCTCCACCAACCCACCCACGCCCTCACGGACGCACACACACACGCGCACACACACACACACCAATCAACCAGCCAACCATCCAACCAGCTAGCCGCAGCCAAGACAAGCCAAACCAGCCAGCGAATCCCATCCCAACCCAACCCAACCCAACCCAACCCAACCCAACCCAACCCAACCCAACCCAACCCAACCCAACCCAACCCAATCACCCACCCAACCAACCAACCGACCGACCAAAGAACCAACGAACCAGCCAACCCGACCGGCCAACCAACAACCAAACAAACGTGCCAACCAACCAACCAACCAACCAACCAACCAACCAACCAACCAACCAACCAACCAACCAACCAACCAACCAACCAACCAACCAACCAACCAAACAACTCACGCCCGGGAATAGCTTCGAATATGAAAGCCATCGCACTGCAAACAATATGCGCAAGCAATGGGCCAAGAGTCTGCATCGATACTGTAGAAACAAGAAGATCAACTAGCCAACTGATCTGCACCAACTCGATTCGTGTTTGCTGGATGTCCAAGTCGTTGGGTGTCCGTGCTGGAAGGGGCTAGAGCTCATACTCCAAAGGGCATAGGCTGCAACCAGGTCCAGGCAATGTTTAGGGCGAGCCCCGAGTGAATTGGCTGCAGCCCAGCAAAAGTTGCGGGCCCACAGCTTCGCCGGCACTCAGCGAGAATGCTGTCCTGTCAAACAAGCTTAACCCACAAGACCCACACAAAGACCCAAAAAAGGCTTGCATTTCACTCCCTTGTGCCGTGCCACTATGAACTCCAAGTCCTGCGCGTGCCAAGCGCATCTCTGCCAGAATCCTGCTGGCCTGACGGTTTCAAGCATCCGAATTTGGCAAGGCAAAGTGCCGACTGCATCCAGAAACCAAGCCCCGGACCCTGGATCTTGATTCATTCCACCCCGAACTAAGGCTGTCTTCAAGCAATCTGTCCTGCAAAGACGCCCACTCTGAAAGATTCCACACACGCGCCTCATCCTGATGAACCTCCACCTCTTTGCAAACCTCGGAGCGACTTGCAAAAACAAGCACCTGAAGATTCATTGGGGTCAAAAAATATCGAGTCTTCCTCAAAACCAGGCATAGCATGGGAGGGGACCTGGAAAACGTGTTGCCTCTTGTCAGGTGCCATGGCAGAGGAGGGTTGAAGTGAATCACCTGGTCGCTTCTTGGACCTCATTGGGCTGGAAAAACAGCCATCGATCATTGGATCTGGGCCATGTTCACAGTATGACTGTGGGTCAAAAATAGGGTAACCCCAGAATGGGTTGCCCTGGTAAATGGAACCAAGGACTAAAACCAGCGGTCTGGTGGTTTAGTCTTGACCAACAATCACTGCGTAAGGGGCCTTTGCCATGGGCGACAACTCGTAAAAACCACGTAGCAACATAAGACGCACATGCGTGTCGTGGCTGTTGCAGCATCCCAACCCCAGTCCGAACTCGATGGCAATTTCCCGGTTGCCGGACATTTGAGTTGGAACATAGTCTGAGCTAGATTGCACGAAGTGGCTCCTGAATAACATTCTGTGACCCGCAAAAGAACGCCAACAAGCAATGGCTATGGGCAAACCAAGAGCGAAGACCGTGTCAGACAACAGGCCCGCGAGTCAGACAACACGAGTCAGACAACGCCAACGCGCGAGTCGGACAACGCCTACGCGCGAGTCAGACAACACTCGCGCGTGGTTGCGGAAGCGCGTTCAGGAACTGCCCCCAATGGGCCGTCGTTGTCTGACACAGCGCTTCCCGTCCGACACGTGGCCTCCACGGCCGACTCGGACCGTCAGGTTCTGACTCGGAGACCTTACTTTGCTAAGTTAGCTCCGCGTCCGCGCTTCTTCTGGCGTGCCCGCCGTCCCATACGCGGCCGACTCGGGCCGTCGTTGTCTGACACGGCGCTTTCCGTCTGACACGTGGCCTCCGCGGCCGACTCGGGCCGTCGGGTTCTGACTCGGAGACCTTACTTCTCCGTGTCCCCGTTTCTCTGGCAACTGCGGGCGCGCGCGGATGCCTTGCAGGCTTTGCGTTGCGCGCCTCCGCGCGGTTCGTCCCCCAGCTTGTCTCCCAGTTTCCTAGCGCATGCGTATGAATTGCAACGCCGCGCTTAGAGCTGCAGGATGCCCTGCGGCGCCACAGCGCAGGATGCCTTGCCTTCAAGAACAGGATTCTTGGTCTTGAAGTGCAAGATGCCCTGCCTAAGTGCAGGATGCCCTGCGGTCCAACGCAGGATGCCCGGCCAGCTTGGCGCTGCGTGAAAAGCAGCAAAAGAAGCTGCAGCGGTCGCTGGCTCGCCAGCAGCAGCCCGCAAGGTGGGGTCGATGCTTTTTTTTGTGCCAGGGCATTGCAGCCCGTGCTGAGTCTTCAGGGTCCAATTTTGAAGTGCGGGCGGAAAAAGCCCAAGTGTCCGTACACTCGATCGATGAGTGTGCAACAATGGGGGCGCTTGCCAGCAAGTTGGCAGCGCGCTTGGCCACGCAGTTGGTCCAAGGTCTTCTGGGGGATGCGCCCGAAAAGGGCTGTGACAGTCTAGGGGTTGCTGGCGTCGCACAAAGCAGGGCGATCCGGAGTCATTGCTTCATGCTGACCGTGACCTGCAACTGATTTGTGTTGTGAGTTGCCTTGCTTGCCTTGCAGCGCTCTTGGCCCGAGAAGTGTTTCAGCCACTTGTCAGTCTTGGCTGCCGCACATGTCCGTCCAACTTGACACGCAGCACGTCATGGCTTTGGTGGGTGGGATGCAGGCTGCGCTGGCTGCTCACCGTGGCCGGCATGAGGAGGTCACATACGGCAACTTCACTCCCTTGTGGCATCTGGAGCAGCGCTTGCGCATCCAGTACAGCCTCTGCCGCCACGTTGGAGGGGAGCAGTCCTCTACCAACCTGGACACCGTCACCATTCTCATGACAGTGATCTACAGCCTCCGCCGCTGTGAGCACTGGAAAGTGACATGCTCCTGGCCTGACCTCCAGCCTCCCTGTGAAGGCAATAATCCCGTGTCCTTTCGCACACAACTGCAGCTGACCTGGGGGGCATCCTGGCGAACGCACGCAGAGACCTTGGAGCCGCTGCTTGTGTCCTGCATGAACCACGTGCAAGAGTATGAGCCAGTGTATGGGCGGTCTCGCAGCATGGGCTCCTTGTTCAAGGCTTGGCACGCGTTCTCCGACGACATGCTGCTGATGCTGCGTGGTTTGCTGGGTGAGCCTTGGCCGTCTCACACCGGGTAGCTGCAGCTTGAATGACATGGCCGGTGACGAAAAAGTCAGATTTGCAAGCAGCCGACTCGGGCCGTCGTTGTCTGACACGGCGCTTTCCGTCTGACACGTGGCTTCCGCGGCCGACTCGGGCCGTCGGGTTCTGACTCGGAGACCTTACTTCGCTAAGTCAGCTCCGTGTCCCCGTTTCTCTGGCAACTGCGGGCGCGCGCGGATGCCTTGCAGGCTTTGCGTTGCGCGCCTCCGCGCGGTTCGTCCCCCAGCTTGTCTCCCAGTTTCCTAGCGCATGCGTATGAGTTGCAACGCCGCGCTTGGAGCTGCAGGATGCCCTGCGGCGCCACAGCGCAGGATGCCTTGCCTTCAAGAACAGGATTCTTGGTCTTGAAGTGCAAGATGCCCTGCCTAAGTGCAGGATGCCCTGCGGTCCAACGCAGGATGCCCTGCCTTCAAGGCCAGCATGCTTGGTCTTGGAGTGCGGGATGCCTTGCTTAAATGCACAAGCGCGGTCCAAAACCTGACACGGAAAGAAAAAAACAACGCAAACAGAAGCAGACGGCCTCAAACAAAACCACGCAGAGCCTGCCGATCCAAAACAGCCCAACAGCACGGCGGCGCCGCACAGCAAACCAAACGGCATGAAGCAACTGCGGGCGCGCGCGGATGCCTTGCAGGCTTTGCATTGCACGCCTCCGCGCGGTTCCTCCCCTAGCTTGTCTCCAAGTTTCCTAGTGCGCGCGTATGCATTGCGACGCCGCGCTTAGAGCTGCAGGATGCCCTGCGGCGCCACAGCGCAGGATGCCTTGCCTTCAAGAACAGAACTCTTGGTCTTGAAGTGCAAGATGCCCTGCCTAAGTGCAGGATGCCCTGCAGTCCAACGCAGGATGCCCTGCCTTCAAGGCCAGCATGCTTGGTCTTGGAGTGCGGGATGCTTTGCTTAAATGCACAGGCGCGGTCCAAAACCTGACACGGAAAGAAAAATCCCGCAAGCAGAAAGCAGACGGCCTCAAACAAAACCACGCAGAGCCTGCCGATCCAAAACAGCCCAACAGCACGGCGGCGCCGCACAGCAAACCAAACGGCATGAAGCAACTGCGGGCGCGCGCGGATGCCTTGCAGGCTTTGCGTTGCGCGCCTCCGCGCGGTTCCTCCCCCCGCTTGTCTCCAAGTTTCCTAGTGCGCGCGTATGCATTGCGACGCCGCGCTTAGAGATGCAGGATGCCCTGCGGCGCCACAGCGCAGGATGCCTTGCCTTCAAGAACAGAACTCTTGGTCTTGAAGTGCAAGATGCCCTGCCTAAGTGCAGGATGCCCTGCAGTCCAACGCAGGATGCCCTGCCTTCAAGGCCAGCATGCTTGGTCTTGGAGTGCGGGATGCCCTGCTTAAATGCACAGGCGCGGTCCAAAACCTGACACGGAAAGAAAAATCCCGCAAGCAGAAAGCAGACCCTCAAACAAAACCACGCAGAGCCTGCCGATCCAAAACAGCCCACCAGCACGGCGGCGCCGCACAGCAAACCAAACGGCATGAAGCAACTGCGGGCGCGCGCGGATGCCTTGCAGGCCTTGCGCTGCGCGCCTCCGCGCGGTTCCTCCCCTGGCTTGTCTCCAAGTTTCCTAGTGCGCGCGTATGCATTGCGACGCCGCGCCTAGAGATGCAGGATGCCCTGCGGCGCCACAGCGCAGGATGCCTTGCCTTCAAGAACAGAACTCTTGGTCTTGAAGTGCAAGATGCCCTGCCTAAGTGCAGGATGCCCTGCGGTTCAACGCAGGATGCCCTGCCTTCAAGGCCAGCATTTGGTCTTGGAGTGCGGGATGCTTTGCTTAAATGCACAGGCGCGGTCCAAAACCTGACACGGAAAGAAAAATCCCGCAAGCAGAAAGCAGACGGCCTCAAACAAAACCACGCAGAGCCTGCCGATCCAAAACAGCCCAACAGCACGGCGGCGCCGCACAGCAAACCAAACGGCATGAAGCAACTGCGGGCGCGCGCGGATGCCTTGCAGGCCTTGCGTTGCGCGCCTCCGCGCGGTTCCTCCCCTGGCTTGTCTCCAAGTTTCCTAGTGCGCGCGTATGCATTGCGACGCCGCGCCTAGAGATGCAGGATGCCCTGCGGCGCCACAGCGCAGGATGCCTTGCCTTCAAGAACAGAACTCTTGGTCTTGAAGTGCAAGATGCCCTGCCTAAGTGCAGGATGCCCTGCGGTTCAACGCAGGATGCCCTGCCTTCAAGGCCAGCATGCTTGGTCTTGGAGTGCGGGATGCTTTGCTTAAATGCACAGGCGCGGTCCAAAACCTGACACGGAAAGAAAAATCCCGCAAGCAGAAAGCAGACGGCCTCAAACAAAACCACGCAGAGCCTGCCGATCCAAAACAGCCCAACAGCACGGCGGCGCCGCACAGCAAACCAAACGGCATGAAGCAACTGCGGGCGCGCGCATGCCTTGCAGGCTTTGCGTTGCGCGCCTCCGCGCGGTTCCTCCCCCCGCTTGTCTCCAAGTTTCCTAGTGCGCGCGTATGCATTGCGACGCCGCGCTTAGAGATGCAGGATGCCCTGCGGCGCCACAGCGCAGGATGCCTTGCCTTCAAGAACAGAACTCTTGGTCTTGAAGTGCAAGATGCCCTGCCTAAGTGCAGGATGCCCTGCAGTCCAACGCAGGATGCCCTGGCCTTTCATGGCAGATGTTGGTTCTTGGAGTGCGGGTTGCTTTGCTTAAATGCACAGGCGCGGTCCAAAACCTGACACGGAAAGAAAAATCCCGCAAGCATAAAGCAGACGGCCTCAAACAAAACC